GATAATGTTTAACCGAAGTTAAACTAAGATAATGCTTAACCGAAGTTAAGCCAAGATGATGATTGAAACTTGAGAAAAGTTTACAAGTTAGGTTAAAATGAGAAGATGCTCAAACACTTGTTGAAACTTGAGAAGAGTTTACAAGTTGAAGACTTTGGTTAAATACTTGTTGAAATTTTTTGAGCAAAAATTTACAAGTTAAACCAAGGTTATATTGAAAGAAGTATCTACATACTTGCCGAGATTACTACATTGCCAAGACTTGGAAGAAATTTGAAGACAGAAGTCTTGCTAAAAGTGAAGTATCAAGTTGTAAATAACACTTGCGGAAAAATTATGATAAATACTTTCAAGTATTAGCTCAAAACCGAGATAAACTGATTAATGGGTACAACTGAGGTGTTACACCCCGAGGAGATTGCACAGTTAAAGGTGTATGTTGAAGGCGGGCATATGACTCAGGTCTGCAAAGCACTAAAAGCACACTTAGAAGATCTGATGAAGCAAGGCCATCTGAAGGGACCTCGTCGATGAAACCAGAACAAGGGAAGAACAAGCAAAACTGCCTCAGGCGCCAACAGCTCCGCCTCCCCCAGCACAACAATCTCAAGCAGGAGGACCTCGGGTAATTAATGTAATTCACTCGAGGGTCAACGAGAATGAAATTAAGGGAGAGACTCAGAAGGTGAAGCACCTGCAACATGTCTACTAAGTCGGGGACAAAAGACATCGGGCAGATGAGTGCTTGGGACCAGTAGTGTCTTTTACCGAAGCCGACCTCGAGATGGTTCAACACCCGTATAATGATGCTTTGGTAGTATCCCTCCAGGTTGGGGAGTGCCAAGTGAAACGCATCCCGATTGACCAAGGAAGCTCTTGTGACATCATGTATGTCCGATGTTACAAGGAGCTCGGTCTTCATCCAGACGATATGGAGCAACCCAATGGCCCAATGGTTGGGTTCAATAGAACACCGACATGGCCACTGAGAGTTTACCGAAGCCGACCTCGAGATGGTTCAACACCCGTATAATGATGCTTTGGTAGTATCCCTCCAGGTTGGGGAGTGCCAAGTGAAACGCATCCCGATTGACCAAGGAAGCTCTTGTGACATCATGTATGTCCGATGTTACAAGGAGCTCGGTCTTCATCCAAACGATATGGAGCAACCCAATGGCCCAATGGTTGGGTTCAATAGAACGCCGACATGGCCACTGAGAGCAGTAAGCTTGAAGGTGCAGGCTAGCACCAGAAAGATCACAACAGAATTCACCATCATCGACACTCCATCTCCTTACAAATCTTGGAAAGATCATGGTTGCATGCAATGGGGGAAGTTCCCTCAACATTGCATCAACTATTGCGGTTCCCAACAGAACATGGGATTGAAGAAGTCAAAGGGGATCAACTGCAGGCGGAGAATTGCTCCATGGCAGCAATGAAATCCACCTACAGCATTCGAGAACCAGAGAAGGCAGAGATTGAAAACGAGGACATAGAGGTCCTAGATGATGTCGGCAAGGAGCCAGCCGAGAAGAGTGAAGAGGCACTGAAGAAAATCCTCGTCCATGAGGGAGATGAATAACACTTCTTTCTTCTCGACTCAGGCTTAGTCGAAGAAGAAGAAAGAGAATTAGAAGCTTTTTTTAGAACAAACATTGAGGTATTTGCTTGGATACCTTACGAAATGCCTGGCATTGACCCCGAGGTCACTTGCCACCAACTGAACATCGACAGGTCGGCCAAACCTGTAATCCAACAAGCAAGAGGACCGACGTTGATGCACATCGAAATAGTAGAGGAAGAAGTAGACAGACTTCTGAAGCCCAGTGCCATCCAAGAAGTCAATTACCCGACATGGCTATCAAATACAGTGGAAGAAGGAATGATAATCAAGGAGCAAGGAATGTTAACATCGGCCAACAACAGACATTTTTCAGAAGCAAAAAAGGTTACATATGCAAAGAAAACAAAAGTACAAAGATGAAGACCCTAAGAACTAGGGACTAAGGCAAGAACGTCGAACTAATCTACTTCAACAGTTGACGGTGGTTCAGCATTGGCAGTCAGTTGGGAGAGCTTCTCTACTGTTATCTCGGCAACAATTTCAAGAAGGGACGTGGTTCTAAAACTATGCAGAAAACAGAAACGAAGGCAAGAATCTGGAAATATAACAAGAAAAGCAAGAAGAGAAAAATCAGAGTCAAGAAGATGACAAAGTTCAAAGAATAAAGCCAAGTACACAGGCATTAAGTAAGTATGTGAAGAATAAGAAAGTAATGAACCAGACATGATGCTAGCAACAGAAAGCGGATATGACAAGAACAGTTCCAGGCATTTCAGCAATAAAAAATCAAAAACTTGAAGACAAACGAGAACAGAAGGCCACAGATGGCAAATAAACAGATTCAAAGTAAATCAGAAGAGTTATGCAAGATTGAGCTTAATAAAAAGTGAGAATTTATGAACCTACCAAATGAACGCCGATATAAAGATCGTCGGAGTTAGATAGGTGACTGAAAATCAGGAAACCCACCGGAGAGTGTGAACGGAGCAGTTGCAGAAAGCTTGAAAAGAGATCGATGAAGGATTAGGGATATTTTTTGAAAAAAGAAAAGTTTTAGCACAGAAAGCACATGAAAGAATGCAAAATGAGAAGACAAAGGGAAAGAAAGAAAACTTTGTTGAAAACTCAAAAAGGCAACAGAAGAGTATTGAATTGTACCTTGGGTGACGTACCTGTCAGGCAGCATGCGCAGAAACGACGCAAACCTGATAGCGCGTACAAGTCAATAAGGGATGAACGCATGAACAAAACGGTTGAGGAGGGTATGCATGGTAGCTCATGCGCAGTTGCAAAGCTTCTGGAGTTTACGAATTGATGGAACCATAAACCTCGGGATCTCAAGTAGCCTGGAAGGCATGAATCTTGATACTTGACACAAGTGGACAGTAAGGTCCAAGGAACTTTGAGGTCGGCGAGTTTGATCTCGAACAGAGGAGCACAGATGAACGAATAGTGTAGGTTCCATCACCTCAGAATGTCGAGGTCATAGAACCTAGGGGGCAGTTGTGGGGATATATTTTCTATGTACCAACACGTGGCAAGGTGACGCCGACGTGTCAGCTGAGGTGCCACGTTGTCTTGGTTGTTGTGCCGAGGTCATCTCGATTAGGCCGAGGTTGCCTCCGAAGATATCGGAACCCGAGATAAGCGAATAAGGGACAAGAGTCCTAGAATGGAGAGGGAACTCAACCTGGATATGGACAAGAGTCCTAGATTGTGAGAAGACTTCAGTTTGGGTAAAAATAAGACTCTTAGAAAGTTTATCCTAATCCCACTGGGAGTCCCAGATTAGCAATCCTAAGTCCATTAGGGCCAAGCTCCTATTGGGACTAGGATTGTATTGGCTATAAAAGAGAGGCACCCCCATGGATCTACGGTACGCAATTTATGCTTTGAGCAGTGAGTTTAGCACTTGATTATCTTTGAGAGATATATACTGACTTGATCGTCGGAGTACCCCAGGTGGAAGAACCACCGCTGGAATCTTCTCTTTCTGTTACAGGTGAGTCAGGTGTCATCTATTCTGCCAATTCTCTCCAACTGATCACTGAGTTGGCAGTGTGATCGGAAAATTACTCACACAGTAACTTTTCACAAATATATGTAAATTAACTCATAAAAATTTGAGAAATCACAACTTATGTATATTTATAAGAATTTACACGATTTTATGAAACAATTTATATATATTTGTGAGAATTTACGTAAGTGCATATGTTACACACCTTGCACCCTGCACCCAAACCCTTCCCACAAACAAAACACATCATCACATAACTCTCTCTATTTTTTTTGTACATATTTTCGTAAAAAACTAAATAACTAACTAAAATAATTTATTCTCAAATAGAGCCTATAAACGACAAAATGCTAAAAAAAATATTTTATTTTTTATTTTTAACGATAAAAATGAATTGTTAATTATTATATTAACACTTTACATAGTTTAATACTCAACCTCACCCTTCCAAGTCCTCAAGTATTGCACCCGTAGCAAAGCTAAAAACAGTTATTGTTAAAAATGTGTAATATATATATATATATATATATTGTATAGTAATATATAAAAGTATTTTGAAAAATATATAAAAATTGTTTTAAAATTATAAATATTTGACATTATATACTCTTATAAAAATATTAATAATTAGCATGCTCCTTAAAGAGAATCTTCGTGTTATGTTATTAACTATCAATTCTTCTAAAAGTTTGAACCTTATTAATAGAAGAGTAGCTCTTGAAGTGTAGCCAAACTCCATTTCATAAACAGGCCAAATGCATACAAAATATTATAATTATTGGTAATTGGCTAAATAGGATCATTTGATCTAATGTTTGCTCTAATATTATATTACATTATTGAACAATATTGAATAATTGACCATTGATTCATTTAAAAATTTAAATTGTTAAAAACAAAATCTATTTTATTATTTATATTATATTCTCAACTATCAATAACTTATCCATAATCAAAAATAATTTTATTATTCATATTCTCAACCTACCAAGCTTTAATAGTGTAGTTTAACCACAACTACACTATGTTTGGGAACAATGATTTTTACCCAGAAAATTAATAAGTCACTATAAATTATTATATCAATCTTTTTCATTTTTTATGCATCTTTTAGTGTAAGTTCAAAAAAATAAACAATTATAATAGCCAATTCCCCAACGGGCAGATGAGAGAGAGTTTTTGAAGGAAGAAAAAAAGCTCCAAAATAAAAAATGCAAATTACATGAAAGGTTCTCTCATTTTGTATTTGTTTTTCTCCACTCCATTGATAGTAAAGCCTGAGTGCAACTTCACCAAGGTCCTATTCAAACCCATTAGTAGTCACTTTCGAAAAGAAACTCTCTCTCATTATCACCCTTCCTTTTTCCCATACTTGAGACAAATGAATGCTTAATGGACCTGAAAACTAAACTCAATACCTTCTTTATCCCTCTTCTCTCTTCTTGAATACAACTTACCTACAAACACAAGTATAAAGTATTTTGTATCTATCAATCCAACAAAAATAATAAAGGAGTGTGTTGGAGGGTCTATTCTCTATCTATAAATAGGTATACTCATCTCTAGGGCAACCCATTTCCATTTTCTACAACTCTCCTTTGCAAAAAAAAAAAAAAATTTATTTAAAAAAGAAGAGAAGATAGTCTTGTGACCATCCCTTTTCCTTAGGTTTCCCTATCAATTTATTGAGCAAAAAATCAAAGCATATGCAACCGGTAACTATAATTCTTGTTTTGCTTATTTTGGATGTTTATAAAATTTTCTTGCTTTTGTTTCAGCTCTCAAATTCCAATTTAGGTTCAAATCCAATGCCTTCTTATGATAAGAAGAATAAAAGAAAAGAAAATCAATTGAAGTTTGTTTTGCTTTTTTCAGCTTTGGAAGATGATGGTTTTCCCTAATCAAGAATCTGAAGAAGGGTCTTCCCAAAGAAAAATGGGAAGAGGAAAGATTGAGATTAAGAGGATCGAAAACACGACTAATCGCCAAGTCACTTTTTGTAAGCGCCGCAATGGATTACTCAAGAAGGCCTATGAATTATCGGTGTTATGTGACGCCGAAGTCGCCCTTATCGTCTTCTCAAGCCGCGGCCGGCTTTACGAGTACGCCAACAACAGGTTTTGCCTTCATTTCTGACTATTCTCATCAAGATCTCAATTCATCATTCAGTTTTCAGTCCCATCAAAGCATTTTTAGCTTTTAAATTAGTTTATTGTTTATAATTTAGATAGACATATTGATGGATCGTGTTATATGTCATAGATTCTTGGTGGATTTTCTCATAAGAAAAAATATAATAATAATGATTCTATGCAGTTAGGAACTTAAGATTTGTTCTCTCTAACAAAGATTCATACATGTCTCTCTTTCTTGCTTCTTTTATGTTTTGTTTTCTCTCACCCTTTATGAGATTTATTTCACATTTCTCTTTCGTTTTTTCATGATTCTTCTCAGTTCTTTGCTCGATTGATACTCAGATCTGATTCAGTAGATAAAACTAGTAGGGTTGGGAAGATTTCAAAGTCTAGGAAATCATTTTCTCTCTCTTTCTTTCTTTCTCTCTCTTCATATGTCGTCATGTATCTGAGGAAAAATTTTGATACAAGCTGTCGTGCCCTGATTTGCCCATTCCCTATACGTCCTTGACGCTACCTTTGTAACATGTCAGTTCAACAAAGCATAGTAATCAATGAAAGAGCTCATAAAAATTGCAGGTTAGGGTTTCAAAATTATTATTGGATTTTTGAGTAAAATTTAATTAAAATTTCTAGTTTCAAACCGTCAATGCTAGGGGTGTGCATAATACCACCAAAACCGTTGAAACCGCCAAAATCGCACTGAACTGTACCGCTAAGGCAAATTCGTTATTATTTGCCAATCGAACCACCGGTTTTTGGTAAGAAAAATGACAAATTCTAGTGACACTTATATCAATCCGCCGGTTTCTATTTTTCTTCCAAACCACAACCGACCCGCACCGCTATTAAATCATGTTTTACAAGATTCTAAAAATTCTTTTTTACTTTAGTTTACTTGTTGTTCTATACCTTAGAATATAGTATTACATTACCGCTCGAGAGGAATTCAAGATGTCAGTAATCCAAAATAAAGTTGGATTCCAATTCATTTTTCAATCTTTTTTTTTCTGGCCATGTTGCTACACTTGCTGCATCAGAAGAAAGCTTCGCATGATGCTTAACATCACGGTATCTCTCGTCTTTTTTTTACTCTTTGATTTAAGTTTTGTAATTTGAATTATATTTTTTATAAACCGCCAATCCGCCCGAACCGCCAAGGCAAATCCGCCATTATTTGCCAACCGAACCGCCGGTTTTTGATAAGGAAAATGGCAAATTCTAGTGACACTTTTATCAATCCGCCACCGCCATACGGTTTTTATTTTTCTCTCAAACCGCACCGACCCGCACCGCGCACACCCCTAGTCAATGCTATGTATTAGGGTTTTATTAATTAATGGGTATCATGGATTTTGCTTTGATTTATTTTTATCAACTTCTTATTTTTCTTTTTGTTGATAAATAAAAAATGAAAATGGGCATCATGGATTTTTTGCCCTCTCTCTGGTAACAAACGACATAAGAACTTAAGAAGGGTGTGGCAGTGGAACTATGTTATCTAAGGGTTTAATGGTTATATGTATTCATCTATGAATGTTTTCAGTTCTTCATTGGCTGACAAGAAGGTGCTGTCTGATGACTCATTTACTGGAGTTTCTTCTTTTAAGTTTAACATCTCTTCTCACTTCATTTCATTATTTTCTTTTTATTTTATTTGTAAAAAAATTTTAATTCTCAAAACAGTGAGAAAAAAAAAAAAAAACTTTTTTGTTTGGCTTAAACTTTGACCTTGTGAAGATTAAAATTTCGCATAGTGATCTGACATATGGAAGATAAATGAGTTTTCTTCAAATGTTACTCAAGCTTCTCGTAACAGCGTCTGACCTGGAAACAAAGAAATGGTGAGCTGCCTGGCAGTGGTGTGCCAGATAAACCCTCTGACGATCAAGTCAGATCACTTGAAGAAGAGCACTGTTTTAGAGAGAGAGTTGTTCAGATAGCATACCTCCAACATTCCCCTTCCTCCTTTTTTGTGGGGTGGCCATGCAGCCTTAGGGATTGTGCGCGTACTACCTCTGCTGCCCTTCCCTGGACAGGTGGCAGTGCTCGCCTCCCATCACCTTACGCGTGTAAAGGCCAAAACCTCCAAATAGTACGTGTGAAACTGCCAAACGGTATTGACGCGTGCCAGGAGTGGATTTCCTCTCCATCACGCCATTGGCCCAGGTGGCACACCTAACCGGGATACCACGACCGGCCTATTCCTTGGGAAGAATCACAACCACAATCAACAAGATCGAGGCGTGTTGCCCTCCAAACCGGTCTAAAATCACCCCGGGTTGTGCTCTGCTCGGTCCAGACACGGCATTGTAGATCCGAGCGAACAGCTAGCCGAATCACAACTCGGCTTGGCATAGGCACGACTTCCACGCTCCGGTCGACAAATGTAGCTCGGCCCGGCCGGGGAACCATTTCGGGAGAAGAAATAGCCCGGCCCCCGTTAGTTCCGCTATAGCCTTGCGTTACCGTAGCTCGTACGTACCTGACCGGCGCAAATCTCCCTCTCAGTAAACATTTTCAATATATTGTAAACCCCGAATGATATTAATTTTATGTATTGTATTTGATCATTGTAGCTTCCACAGATGCTTGTAATGAACTGATGACATAGTCATTGATATTATCATGTTGTTGCTACGCTTGCTGCATCAGAAGAAAGCTTTGCAAGATACTTAATATCACGGTATCTCTCGTCTTTTTTTAACTCTTTGATTTAAGTTTTGTAATTTGAATTATATTTTTTATAAACCGCCAATCCGCCCGAACCGCCAAGGCAAATCCGCCATTATTTGCCAACCGAACCGCCGGTTTTTGATAAGGAAAATGGCAAATTCTAGTGACACTTTTATCAATCCGCCACCGCCATACGGTTTTTATTTTTCTCTCAAACCGCACCGACCCGCACCGCGCACACCCCTAGTCAATGCTATGTATTAGGGTTTTATTAATTAATGGGTATCATGGATTTTGCTTTGATTTATTTTTATCAACTTCTTATTTTTCTTTTTGTTGATAAATAAAAAATGAAAATGGGCATCATGGATTTTTTGCCCTCTCTCTGGTAACAAACGACATAAGAACTTAAGAAGGGTGTGGCAGTGGCACTATGTTATCTAAGGGTTTAATGGTTATATGTATTCATCTATGAATGTATTCGGTTCTTCATTGGCTGACAAGAAGGTGCTGTCTGATGACTCATTTACTGGAGTTTCTTCTTTTAAGTTTAACATCTCTTCTCTTCATGTTTCATTATTTTCTTTTTATTTTATTTGTAAAAAAATTTTAATTCTCAAAACAGTGAGAAAAAAAAAAAAAAACTTTTTTGTTTGGCTTAAACTTTGACCTTGTGAAGATTAAAATTTCGCATAGTGATCTGACATATGGAAGATAAATGAGTTTTCTTCAAATGTTAAATCTCTCTTTCTTTAAAAGAATTTCAAGTACAAGGTACAAGACAATTACATCAATAAAGAAAAGGGAAATGCAAAAGTGGTAGTATATGTATGTCACAGATTTACATGGAAAAGTTAATGAAGAGTCATTTTTTGTGTATAACTCGTGTAATGGTTTAGGTTTGTCTTGCTTTTTTTTCTTTTTTTAATTCAAAGATGTTTTGTCTGTTTGTGTTCCCAAGCTCTTGAGATAATGTGCTTGAAAATTTTAAATTCAAGAGGGGCTTGTTGTCTAAAAGCTCATAAATTATTCATAAATTTATGAATCTTCTGTACTCAAAGTAAAAGTTGAGAGAGAGAGAGAGCATAGCCAGACGTTTTTTCTTTTTTAAGTTCAGTTAATAGCTAAACGTTCAGCCAAAGACTAAAGACATCCAAACTACATAGAAAGAGAAAGAGAAAGAAGACCTAAAGGTTAGGCGAGAGAGAGATCGGAGAAAACTAAGAAAATGTTTAAGAATACAATAATCAATAATGGTGTAAGATAAATTGATGTATTATTTCTTTTTTAAGTTCAGTTAATAGCTAAACGTTCAGCCAAAGACTAAAGACATCCAAACTAACGAAAAACTACATAGAAAGAGAAAGAGAAAGAAGACCTAAAGGTTAGGCGAGAGAGAGATCGGAGAAAACTAAGAAAATGTTTAAGAATACAATAGTCAATAATGGATACAATCTTTTCATATGAAGCACTAATACTAAGAACATATAATAAGTCAAAGAGGTGTAATTGTTGATTGAGATTCATTCTGAATATATACTTTTTTATAGTGAGAATTATATTCAATTTTGTAATTACTTTATAGAAAATGATATACATGTACATTTTTTATATTTGTTTTCTAAATTTAATAATGTATAAATGAGATGATCGATTAATAATTAAAAAAAATACAAGCAAAAAATAAAACATCAAAGTAAATGGATGATTGATCATTTAATTTAAAATATAAATATAATTTTTAAGTTAAAATAGCATTACTCTTAATTTATATACAAATGTAGGAACAAGTGAGAGCCAATGGGGTTAGTGTACTTTTTCTTGAGGTCTTCTGGGAGCATGGGGAAGAGCGTGGCTCCTTTGATGACTGCTCTCTGATGCGCTCTCTTTCTCTCTACAGACTCACAGATAGTTTCACATAAACGGCATACCACGTACAAATTATTTATATATAATTAATACTTTTTACATGTAATATAATTTGGAAAAACTACAAAGCAGGTATTCGATAAAAAATAAAGATTAAATTCATATAACATTTACTCCTCAATAGCTCAAATATGTCAACAAGCATTCATGTAGTTTTAGATTAAAGTGTCATCGTTAGTTTTTCTATCTAAATTAGCGGAAGGTGTATCGCAAGGTCACACGCACCATTTTTTAGAGTGAGCTTAGTTTCTACAAAAAAATAAGATGAAATTAACATACCAAAATATAAAATATAATTAAATAAAAATTTAAAATAGATAATAATTAATGATTGATCTAAATATAATTAAAATTAGTATTGTTTTGAAAATTGATTA